TTTTAAAAGTAAAAGGAACTAACTGACTTTTTCATGAATGTATGATGACAAAATTGACTGTTTTCGCTCGATTTATTTATGAAAGTAACTAAGAAGCTGTTCTGTTTGTCTTATTCTTATTACTTATTGCTTATTCTTATTTTATTCAGATCAGATCAGATCAGAAAAATGCAGTTCAGATCAGATCAGAAAGATTCAGATCAGATTATAGCTACAAATATAATTATAGAAATAATTATAATTAAAAATATAATTACAATTATAATTATAGCTATAATTATAATTAGTGTAATAGGTATAATTATTATAATTTGAATGTTAATTACAACTATTATTATAAATATAATTATATTTTTTATAATTAATATTATAATTATAATTATAATTATAGAAATATCCAAATCAGATCAGATTAGAAGGATTCTGATCAGATCAAAATATTCAGATCAGATCAGAAAGATTCAGATCAGATTAGAAAGATTCTGATCAGATCAGATCAGAAAGATTCAGATCAGATCAGAAAGTTTCGGGTCAGTTCAGATTAGAAAAATTCAGATGAGATCATATTAGAACTTAATAAATTCAGATTAGAAACATTCAGATTAGGTGAAGAGAATAACTTCTCAAATGTGTCTTTTTTAATCGGTTGTCCTACATATTTTTATTTCAAAATTGTTGTGAAATGGAGAAGATCAAGACTAAACTTAAGAGAGATATATTAATAAAAGCTCTAAATTATTTCTTCTTAATATAACTGATTTATCTGAATTTCTGAGTTTTTTAGTGAGTTTACAATGAATGAAACAAGCCCTATTTATACTAGCCAAGCTTAGAGATGAATCATCTAGGAATGATTCTACATAATTTGCTGGCAGTATTGAATCTAGTCATGTGTGTGATTACAAGGATTTGTGTTTACTTAGTGTCCTGATTACAAGGATGAATATTCACACTTGTCAATTTGGTGGTTTTACAACACCCTCCTTGAATGTTCATCCTTGAATATGTATTTGTAATTTTAAAAACTTATTGTGATAAAGTGTGTGAAAATTAAGGGGTAGAGATTACGACTTATAATGTCGTTGTATTTGGATGTACTGTCTCGTTAAAACCCTTATCAGGAAAAACCTAGTGGGATAAAAATCTGTTGAAGGAAAAAAGAGTGTAGTGCATTCAAATACTCCCCCTGAACTTAGGCTAAATTTTGAAGGCAACGCATGCCGATTTTCTGTACAAGTTCTATGAACTTCTTCGGGGGTAAAGATTTGGTGAAGAGATCAGCCAGATTTTCACTGGATCTGATTTGTTGAATGTTGACCGTCCCTTCTTTCTCCAGATCATGAGTAGAGAAGAACTTTGGTGATATGTGTTTCGTTCTGTCTCCTTTGATGTAGCCTTCTTTAATCTGAGCTATGCACGCAGTGTTGTCTTCGTAGATCACAGTCGGGTGACAAGTAATAGGATTAATACCGCATTCATTTTGGATGTGTTGAATCATAGACCGCAGCCACACACATTCTCTTCCGGATTCCTATAATGCAATTAACTCCGAATGATTTGATGATGTAGCTGTCAATGTCTGCTTCATAGATCTCCATGAGATTGCAGTATTACCATAAGTAAATACGTACCCGGTTTGTGATTTGGCCTTTTGAGGATCTGATAAATATCCAGCGTCTGCATATCCGATTAAAGTGGCTTTTTCATCTTTGTGGTAGAATAGACCGAGATCAACTGTACCGCGGAGATAACGAAATATGTGTTTGATCCCATTCTAATGATGCCTTGTTGGACATGAGCTGTACCTAGCTAATAAATTTACAGAAAGTGCAATATATGGTCTAGTATTATTAGCTAAATACATCAACACTCCAATAGCACTCAGATATGGTACTTCGGGACCGAGTATTTCTTCATTGACTTCTCGGGGACGGAATGGATCATCATGTATGTTGAGAGATCGAATGACCATTGGTGAAGTCATTGGATTGGTGGATGAAAATTCAATTCTTCAAATGCTCAATTTGAAGTCCGAGACAAAATTTGGTTCTCCCGAGATCTTTCATTTCAAATTCTTTCATAAGATATTTTGAAGTATTTTCAATTTCATCGGGAGTTCCAATAATGTTTAAGTCATCAACATATACTGCAACTATGGAAAATCCCGAATTTAATCACCGAATGAAAACACATGGACTAATTGGATCATTCTTATATCCTTCTTTAAGAAGGTATTCACTGAGACGATTATACCACATTCGTCCAGATTGTTTTAGTCCATACAATGTCTTTTGTAGTTTAATGGAAAATATTTCTCGAGGTTTCGAGCTATAAGCTTCAGGCATTTTAAATCCACCGGGAACTTTCATATAAATGTCTATATCGAGTGAACCGTATAAATATTCGGTCACTACATCCATTAGTCGCATTTGTAGTCTTTCAAAAACAGACATGCCAATGAGAAACCTTAATGTAGTTGCATCAGCTATTGGAGAATAAGTTTCTTCATAATCTATTCCCGGCATTTGGAAAAAACCTTGGGCAACAAGCCGGGCTTTATATCTTACGATTTCATTCTTCTCATTGCGTTTACGCACAAATACCCATTTAAAGCCCACTGATTTTACGCTTTTTGGCGTATGGACTATCAGTCCCAAAACATCATGTTTTTCAAGTGATTTTATTTCAGCCTGAATAGCTTCATTCCATTTTGGCCAATCATGTCGTTTCCGACATTCTTTTATTGATGTTGGCTCATTGTCATTGTTTTCATTCATAACATATGTGGCAACGGCATAGACAAATATCTTATTAATATCAACATCTTTACGATTCCATTGTATTCCAGTAGAAACGTAGTTTATTGAAATTTCATAATTATCAACGTTTCTATCATTATCTGGAATATCTTCCTCGTTTAAGGAAGTTGGATCATCATTTGAGATGTTTGTTTTGTCAATATCATTTTCTATGCCAGTATTTTCAAACTGTTTATTTTCTTGTTCAGAAGGATGAACATCTTTAGCATCACATATTAATTTCTGCTTTTTAGTTTTTCTTGGTTTTATGTCTTTTGATCCAAGTGGCCTGCCATGCTTTTTGCGTATAGAAGAATCATTTGCAAGAGATTTTTCAAAATTCTTTGTTGGGATTTCGATTCTGGCAGGGGCATTCATAGCAGGAATATGTGACTTTGTCTCTTTCTTTGTATCTGTGAACGCATCAGGTAATTGATTTGCAACATTTTGTAAATGAGTTATCTTTTGCACCTCTTGCTCACATATATTTGATCTTGAATCAAAATGTGATAATTCTGTTGCATTCCATGTAATTTCTTTCGTACCTGGGTCTAATTTATTATTTTCTCCCCTAAGGTTGGGAACACTGTCTCGTTGAAATGACAGTCTGCAAACCGTGCTGTGAATAAGTCACCAGTCATCGGTTCGAGATATTTTATTATTGAGGGAGATTCAAAACCAACATAAATTCCCAACCTTCTTTGAGGACCCTTTTTTGTACGATGAGGTGGAGCAATTGGAACATAAACATCACAATCAAATATCTTAATGTGTGCTAAGTTTGGCTCATGTCCAGTTACTAATTGCATTGGGGAATATTCATGATATGCAGTTGGTCTAAGCCGAATTAAATTTGCTGCATGTAAAATAGCATGTCCCCAAGCTGATGAAGGTAAATTACACTTCATTAATAATGGTCTAGCGATTAATTGTAATCGTTTAATCAAAGATTCAGCAAGACCATTTTGTGTATGAACATGAGCAACAGGGTGCTCCACATCAATCCCAATCGACATACAATAGTCGTTAAATGATTGAGATGTAAATTCTCCTGCATTATCAAGTCGGATTCTTTTTATAGAATGATCCGGAAAATGAGCTCTTAATCGTATGATTTGAGCAAAGAGTTTAGCAAATGCTAGATTTCTAGTTGATAACAGACTGACGTGTGACCAACGTGTTGAAGCATCAATCAATACCATAAAATATCAAAATGGTCCACATGGTGGGGCTATCGGCCCACAAATATCTCCTTGAATCCTTTCTAAAAATGCAGGTGATTCAGTTGCAATTTTGTTCATAGAGGGCTTGATGATCATTTTGCCAAAAGAACAGGCCTTACAAGGAAAATCCCTTGATATTGGAACCCTTATATTCTTTAATGGATGTCCAAGTGAGGTCTTAATGATTTTATGCATTATTACCTGGCCTCGATGACCTAAACGGTCATGCCACAACATGAATGTTTTCTGATCATCTAACTTTGTGTTAGAAACCAAATTTATTTCAAATGGACTAATATATGTGAAATATAGTCCTGAGGAATATGGTGGCATTTTTTCACAAATATATTTAGTGCCAGATTTAGTTGTTGTAAGACAAATATATTCCTTTTGGTTTTCATTCATGGTTCTATGTGATTACCATTTTGACGCATATCTTTAAAGCTCAATAAATTTCTCCGTGATTTGCTGGAGTATATAAAGCGTCATTTATAATAATTTTTGACCCGTTAGGGAGCATCACATATGCTTACCAGAGCCTTCAATGAGCTTCGCAACACCTGATATGGTATTGACTTTAGCCTCAACTAAAGTCATTTGAGAGAAATATATTTTATTTCTCAAAATGATGTGCGTTGTGGCGCTGTCTATCAGACATAGTTTTTTATCATTTGAGTGATCCATATCTGCAGGAAGATAATTTCTTGGAGAGTTTGAGCCGATTCGTGCTGATGACATGTTGTGAAATGGAGAAGATCAAGACTAAACTTAGATAGATATATTAATAAAAGCTCTAAATTACTTCTTAATATAACTGATTTCTCTGAATTTCTGAGTTTTTTAGTGAGTTTAGAATGAATGAAACAAACCTTATTTATACTAGCCAAGCTTAAGAATGACTCATCTAGAAATGACTCTACATAATTTTCGGTATTGAATTAGTGACACAAAAATCCCTTACTTTGGGCAAGCTACACTTGTGCACATCACACGACACCGGACTACTCGATCGAACTTTCCTTTGCTTTGGGTGGTGGCTCTCGTCCCTATTGGACTGCCGACTGTGTGTGTTACCCATCTCATCTCATCTCCGTATATACCTTTGCGAATCTGCATCCACCATACGCACATATATAGATACGCCAACACCAACATATATCCATTCGATCCAATCATCTCTGCCAGAATCAATGGCTTCCGCCGGAAATCCTAACCAGCCAGGTGTCGTAGGCCAATTTGATATGCATAAGTTCTTAAAACCTTCGGCGCCATCGCCCACTGCGCCTGCTCCAGCGCCCGCAAATCCCAATCCCCAAAACCCCAATAACCCTAATTTGATCAGCTCATCGCCGTTTCCTCTGCCTTCTGCGTCATACCCTCCGCCCACTGGAGGCGGCGGCGGCGGCGGCCCTTACGCTTTCCCGCCTCAGACCTCTCCGTTCCACCCCCACGCGCAGTTCCACCTTCACGCCCCACAGTACAGCGCCCCGCCCCCTCAAGGGGACGGGCAGTTCTCCAATTTGCACCAGCAGAGATCTATGTCCTTCCCTACTCCGCCTCTCCAACCCCCGCTCGGGAACCCTCACCAGTTTCAGAACCCCAATAGTAACCCGAATCCAGGCGCTCGCCTCATGGCTATGTTGAGTCCGCCGCTTCCCACTCACGAACTTCCGCAGCAACTCCCAGTTCCCTCAATTCAACCTACAACATCCGGGTCCGACCTTTCCGATTTTTCAGTGCCAACCAGTGCTCCTATGATTCCATCCCTACCTAGTATGGACAACATACATGCGGGCTCAAGCCCCCTCAGAATGTCGAGCAATAAGTTGCCTAAAGGCCGCCATCTGATTGGAAACCAAATTGTTTATGATATCGATGTTAGATTGCCTGGTGAGGTGCAGCCTCAACTCGAGGTTAATCCAATCACCAAGTACATTTCGGACCCTGGCCTTGTTTTAGGCAGACAAATCACAGTGAATAAGACCTATATATGCTATGGACTCAAGATGGGTAATATTCGAGTCCTTAACATCAACACTGCATTGAGGTCACTGCTTAGAGGTCTTGCTCAGGTTGTGGTTTCTCAGGTTTTGTTGTCTCATGTTTTCCTTTTAAGTGTGCTGAACGTTTTTGTCAACAATGTTGTTTAAATCACTTCTTTGTAGCTTTGCTTTGGTGCTTCCTTTTTAGAGAAAGCATATAAGATTGTTCTGATATATGCTAGTTTTTGCATTTGTATTACCTCATTACCTGTGAAACATTAATTTTTGATTCAGTAATGCTTTTGAAATGTTGATATAATAAATAAATAAATAAACAAACAAACAAATAAACAAACAAACAAACAAATAAATAAATAGATCCAAGTTGATATCAGCATATCCTCTCCAATTTATAAAAAAACAATTACAAAAATTGGGATGGTTACTTTCTGGCTGGGCTGTTTGTCATGAGTATTAGTCCATTCTGAGTATTCAACTATTCATCCTGCCATGTACCAGTCCTTGTGCTCGTAAATCATTGAGTTCCATCTTTGGTGTGAAATATTACTATTCAGTTTCTCAACTCTGAACTGACTTGTCACTGCCTTGTTGTCATGATTACAATAAGGACTGCTACCTTTAGTTAATTCCTAGAGTATCAAATCTATATCATTTTGCTTTTTAATTGTAAAACCAAAAACTAAAAACTAGTAGCAATACAGACGGTCCCTTAGCCATTCATTTTTGAATGACATTCTCACATGGAACAGTATATCTTTCCTAGTCTTTATATACCACCTAAAGTCCAGCCCTATTTTATTTACACCAACCTGCATCTTCTTTCAGAGGGTTACAGACATGGCTTTCTTCGCAGAAGATGTTCACCTTTTGGCAAGGTACTCTGTCTTGATTGTGCTCATAATATTGTTCTCTTTATGCACTTTATGTATTTTACTTATTTGCTTATTTAACAGCGCGAGTGATGATGGTCGGGTTTATGTATGGAAAATCACTGAAGGGCCAGACGATGAAGACAAGCCACAAATAACTGGGAAGAAAGTTGTTGCTATTCAAATTGTGGGAGAGGGAGAATCTATTCATCCACGAGTGTGTTGGCATTGCCACAAACAAGTATGTTCTAAGCTGATAGTGTGATATATGTAATTTATTGTGGACTTGTGTTCTGATTTATTTTGGAATCTTGATTTTTCCATCTTCTAAGTTGTCATAAGCATTACCATGCACATTTGCGCAGGAAATTCTTGTTGTTGGGATTGGAAAAAGAGTTTTGAGAATTGATACCACAAAAGTGGGAAAAGTTGAAGTATCTTTATCAGAAGAACCACTGAGATGCCCAGTTGACCGTTTGGTTGAAGGGGTCCAGCTTGTTGGCACTCATGATGGAGAAGTGACTGATTTATCGATGTCCCAGTGGATGACCACTCGGCTTGTATCTGCGTCAGTGGATGGCACGGTTGGTTAATTTCTACTTGTCATTCTTGTGAATCTGGTTGCAAAATTAGCCCATTAAAATTCTTCTCTCATTCTTGTTTCTATTTGTTCACACGACGCCCCTTTCATTTGTTTATCTGTTGCCAATGTGGTGATTGTAACATATTTGAATTTGTTGAATTTTCTTATTGCGTCTCTGAATGGTTATATAGTATGCCTAATTTTTCTAAAATGGTAATTAAAGAGATATTTTTAAATAATTTAAAGGAAATGATATGTAATTATGTAAATGATGATGATTGTGTACGCTCTCTTTATTTAAATCATTTTTGCAGTAATAAGAACTTCTGGACTACCGGCATGGATTATCAACTAATTCAATCATAGTGGCATAATGGTCCTTGAGACCGTGCTAGTGGTTTGTTTTTATTTATACTATTTTCCTGTATTTCAACAGGTAAAGGTCTGGGAGGACCGCAAATCTACACCAATTGCTGTATTGAGGCCTCATGATGGTCACCCTGTAAATTCTGTAATGTTTTTGGCCGCTCCAAATCATCCCGACCACATCATACTTATCACTGGGGTATGTGAAACAAATTTCCTTGGAAAGTTACCATACACATCTACTATGGGGTATACAACGCAGCTCATTTTGTGCAAAATATCTGACATTTTCCGTCATTCTGTGAACACATCAGTCATAATTCTTTAAATAATAAGTGATCAACTAACTAAACTTGCTCTACTGCCTATGCCAACACACTAAATGAATATATTTTCAGGGCCCACTTAATCGAGAAATAAAGATATGGTCATCAGAAAGTGAAGAAGGCTGGTTACTTCCAAGTGATGCTGAATCATGGCATTGCACACAGACATTAGAGCTTAAGAGTTCGAGTGAATCTCGAGCTGGTGAAGCATTTTTCAATCAAGTCATGGCCTTGCCTCAAGCTGGTCTGCTCTTATTGGCTAATGCAAAAAAGAATGCTATATATGCAGTGCACTTAGATTATGGTCCTAACCCAGCAGCAACTAGGATGGATTACATTGCTGAATTCACTGTTACTATGCCAATACTTAGTTTTACAGGGACAAGTGACCACCTGCCGCATGGTGAGCAGATAGTTCAGGTTTATTGTGTTCAGACGCAAGCCATTCAGCAATATGCTTTGGACTTATCTCAGTGTTTACCTCCTCCATTAGAGAATATCATGTTTGAGAGGTCAGAATCTAGTGCTTCACGTGATGCTAGTAGTGTTGAAGGCTTTTCTCAGATGGAATCTTCTGGAAGTAAATCGGCAGAGTTACCTATACATACTTCTTCACCCAAACTGCCTATAAATGAATCTAGTTCTCAGTCTGCAGCATCTGGGAGACGTCATTTGAGCCCTGCCTATACTGAGATAACTGCTTCACAAGAAATAGCTACTCATAGCTTAGAAAGTAAGCCTGACACCATCCCAGTTGCAAATACTGATGCTGATGTTTTACTTGATTCTCCTGCTCAATTTCCTCCGAGTCCTAGGTTATCTCGGGAACTCTCTGGCTTCAGAAGCCCATCAAATAGATTTGAAGTCAGCCCTATTAATGATCACGGCGGAGATCCAAAAGTGATTGATTATTCTGTAGACAGGCAAATGGATTCTATCCATGCAAATTTGTCTGATATGGGCTCTTTCATTGATGAGGCTAGGAATGATGAAAACAAGACTTTCCACAGGGATGCTTCCTCAGGTCTAAATAATGCTGTCAAGTTCAAGCAGCCCACTCATCTGGTCACTCCTTCAGAGATATTGATGGATTCATCTTCTGAAGTGAACCATATTATTGAGCAGAAGGGTGAAGAAATACAAGATGTTCTGATGAACAATGAAGCAAGAAATGTAGAGGTAGAAGTTAAGGTTGTTGGTGAATCGAGATTTAATCAGAATAATGGCATTGGTTCTTGCGGAGAACTACATGCTTTTGTATCAGAAAATAAGGAGAAAGTATTTTGTTCTCAAGAATCTGATATTGGGATGGAAAAGGCAGGAGAATGCTGTGCCTTGTCACCTGAAGTGTATATAACTGAGAATTCTATGCAATTTGACGGGGCCAATGTAAGTGAGGATTTGATCCAAACATCAAGTAATCGAGAGGGGCAAGAACCTACAAATAATTTCTCTGGAAAGGAACCTGATTCAAGAGTGTCAGCTCCTGTTCTACAACCAACTGAACCAAGTACAAAAGGCAAAAAACCAAAAGGGAAGAGTTCTCAGGGATCTGTGCCTAGTAGTATTTCTGACACAACAGATCCTTCCAATGAAGCTGGTGTAAGCTCAAATATCTCCTCCATGGAAGCTGCATTTTCACAGATATCGTCTATTCAAGAGAATCTGAATCAGGTGCTTGCCTTGCACTGCAATGCCTTTACTTGCTATTATATTGAAGATGATGTATTGGTTCATGTTACTGACTGCACTTTCATTCGTTGTTATGTATAACTCACCATATGTTTCCTTGTAGCTCTTGTTGATGCAAAAAGAAACTCAGAAGCAGATGAGCGTGATGGTTGCTGCTCCAGTTACTAAAGAAGGAAGGCGGCTTGAGGCTGCCCTGGGGCGCTGCTTGGAGAAATCTGCCAAGACCAACACTGATGCCCTCTGGGCTCGTTTTCAAGAAGAAAGTGCAAAGCAGGAAAAGATATTACGTGAACGTACTCAACAGATGACTAATTTAATCTCCAATTGTTTAAACAAGGACTTGTCAGTACTAGTGGAAAAAATAGTGAAGAAGGAATTAGGTTCTGTTGGACAATCTTTTGCACGGACTGTAACTCCTATTATAGAGAAAGCAGTGTCCTCAGCTATTTCTGAATCCTTTCAGGTGGATTTGTGGTATATTTTTTACATGGTTATTTCTATCCTGGAGAGTGCCAGGTCTGACTTGATTCTCTGTGATGCAGAAGGGTGTGGGTGACAAAGTGGTGAGTCAATTAGAAAAAGCTATTAATTCCAAACTTGAAGCCACAGTGGCCAGACAAATCCAAGCACAGTTTCAAACTTCTGGAAAGCAAGCGCTTCAGGTGAGCATATTTTCATCTCACTATTTTGATTCCATTATCGGTGGCTTGTCATAAGGTAATGAAATATAAAATGTGTCATTTAACAGCATTAAAGTGGTTGCAATGAAATGGCTTTAGTTTTTATTGATTGAAAGGGAAGATAGAGGAGAATCTTTCTTTAAAAGACCTTATATCGAATTATTCTTGGAATTTGATAATAACTTACCCTTGATGCTTCCAATTATATCTCACCTATCACCAATTAAAAGCTTTGGTCTAATTCAATTTGAATAGTTAATATTTTCTTGCTTTGACAAATAATCATTGCTCATTTGAAAAAGGGGGTATTGAAAGTTGTTTATCTTTTTGTCTTGAAGTACATATGTAATTTAATTGCATTACTTATATTGTGCAGGAAGCATTAAAATCAACTCTTGAAGCTTCAGTAATCCCCGCCTTTGACATGTCATGCAAGGCAATGTTTGAGCAGGTTGATGCTACATTTCAAAAAGGAATGGCTGAACATGCTGCTGCAGCTCAACAACAATTTGAGTCAATGCATTCACCTTTGGCACTTGCTTTAAGGGTATTTTTCTGGTCCAGTTCGGATGCAAACACTTTTAATCCTTTCACTTTTTTTATTCAAATTTGTCTGTTCAACCAGCATGCTGTGTTGAGATCATAATCATTTTTACCAGTATTGACCTGTTAATACTTGTAAAAAAACTATAAAATTCACTACAAGTGGTATACTGGTGGACTGGCTCTCACAAAAAAAACGACTCACGTTTGTGATCATGAAAGAAGGTGAGACTTTTGTGGAGGGATTCTCTGCTCAGCAATTAGAATGTGATAACATTAAGAGATTCCTATAGCGGCACAGGCTTTTGAGATTTAGGTGCTACTATTGCTGTTTAATTATAGTAGAAGACTGCTACTTCCAGTTGTTCCTAAAATGCAAGAACTTTGGCAACTGGGGACAGGTTTTTTACATCAAATGTCAAAACTGATTAGTTTATGCAAAACTTCAGGATGCAGTCAGTTCAGCTTCTTCAATGACTCAAACACTAAACGGTGAGCTTGCTGAAAATCAAAGAAAGCTGCTAGCTTTAGTGAGTTCCAAAGCAACAGATCCAATTGTTGGTCAATTATGTAATGGGCCCATGCTCCAAATTGAAAAGGTTTTATCAGCTAACCATCCTTATGTATTTATATTTGTTTTCTATCTTTTCAATGTATGTATTCCAAATTCCACATACATTGAATTTTAGCTCATCTGTCCATGTGCTTAGCTAATTTTCTTTTTGCTGGTACATCTATACAACAGTTTGAGGCACCCCCAGATCCAACAAAGGAGTTATCTAGATTCTTAGCAGATCAGAAGTATGAGGAGGCTTTCACTACTGCCTTGCAAAGAAGCGATGTGTCTATTGTATCATGGCTATGCTCTCAGGTATGCTGTCTTTAAATGTTGGGAAAACTTTCAAATAAGCCTTCGTATTATTATAGTAGAAATTAGAAAAGTCAATCAAGTCCTCTACTGTTCAATCATCCAATCAAGTACATTAACTTATTCAAAATGACCAAAAATATCAATCTAGAAGGTGATCTCCCTGTTAAAGTTTTTGTGCGGCACCCATGTGGACATACATGTTCAATCATGTACTGAGTAGGTACTTAGTTGGCATCCATAACGTAATTTTGTTTTATTTTGCCTTTTCGTTTAATTTTTCATTCCTTTTCTCTCCGTCAACGGAGCTTCTCCTGTAAACATACATGACTCATCTTCTGCGGCCCCATCTTCCTCAACTGGACAAAGATGTGACCAGAAAGTTAATACTGTTTACAACCACGCTTACTGGCAGAAAATCTGCCTTCGAGCCTGAAGAATAGGTCCGGATCAGATTCCTCTGCAAGCGGACAAGCCGGACATACAAATCTCAGAGGATGTGTAGTTATTCTGGACCACCTTCTAGCTACAGGTGCCTCAAATTAACCTCTGCAATTAGAAATCTGTGAGCGAGACGCTGATGATCAGAAGAGAGAGATGTTCCACAGGTGGCCTGATTTTTTTCCGGATTTTTCCACCAAGGGACCCATATTTGAGCTTCTGCGTGTTTTCTGAATGGGGTCTGATACTCTGTTTTCCACACGAGCTCATAGAGCTTATTTCTTGTTGCTGGACACTTTTTACATGGAAAATAGATGTGACATATTTGGAGCTTGATTTGGAAATGAAGATGAAGTCTGAGGAGGAAGAATGTGAAGAGTCCATATTCAAAACCAGAAGGTCTGGAAAAAGAACGCGAACAAGTGCACCACAAGACCTCTTGAACTGGTGAAAGCTCCGGTGCGAACAAGCTTAGGAAAGAATCTATTTCATAGTCCCAACTTGTTGTTGCGTTGCTTGTTCATGCGGAACGTCTCTTGAGTTGATAAAGCCGCTGATCACTTCCGAACAGATCTGGCTGACCCTAAGAAAAGATAAGATGAGAGAAAAAGAAAAGAAAGGAGTTTCTACCTGTCAAACATAGATGAGATTATTACCCGTAATTGGGGAGAAATCTTTTAAAAATCATAATTGGGGAGAAATCTTTTAAAAATCATAATTGGGGAGAAATCTAAGAGTTCAAGTGCTCAGTTGGGTGTTCACAAAGTAGGAGGGCTCGATTGATGAATTTGATATAGTAAGAGGACTTATTTGACGGTATTCCATTGAATGTTCTCCGGTTGTAATTTTGAATAAGTATTGCACATCGTGCCATCGAGAGCGACGTTGCATTCATTGTGTGATCAAGGTTCGGAATTGCATATTGCGTAGTTGTGGTGTTTTTTATTATTGCATATTGCGTAAGCCTCATTGCGCAATAATGTGTAGACCTGAGGCGTAAAATTTATATATGTATATAGATATAATATATTAACAAAATAATAATATTAATCTCGTAGCAAATAAATATGTAGGATAATACTCCATAATTAACAATAATGATATATTAACATAATATTAATATTAACTTCATCTAGCTTATATATGATGTTAACTTGAATATTAACGGAAAATTAAAATTAACAAAAAAGTTAAATTTAGTATTAAATTTAATGCAACACTATATATTAATATTAAAGTTGAAGTTAACATCAAATATAAAAACTTTAAAAACATACTCCGTCTGCAGAATAACCAAGGCTGAATGAGCCCAAAGAAACATTACGCAGCAGACTTAATATGGCATACGCCTCTGGAGACCTCATTGCGTAGGTGAAATTGCGTACGCCTCTGTGGCCAGGAACGTAAGCCCCACACAGCCTATCCGCCTTCAGCAATGCAATGTTACACAATCCTATACCTAAAAGTACTACACTGGAGAGAGAAAATTCTCCCGCCTAAGCATTCTCCGTCTATCCTATACCTAAAAGCACTAAACTGGAGATAGAAAATTCTACCGTCTAAGTGTTCTCCGCCTAAAATCCAAAATGTAATTTCACTTTCCGCAAAAATAAAATCATCGTCTTCCTATCCTATACCTAAAAGCACTACACTGGAGAGAGAAAATTCTCCCGTCTAAGCATTCCCCGTCTATCCTATACCTAAAAGCACTAAACTGGAGATAGAAAATTCTACCGCCTAAGCGTTCTCCGCCTAAAATTGTAATTTCACTTTCCGCAAAAATAAAATCATCGTCCTCCTATACCTAAAAGTACTACACTGGAGACAGAAAATTCTCCCCCTAAGCATTCTCCGCCTAAAATCTAAAATGTAATTTCATCCTATACCTAAAAACACTACATTGGAGAGAGAAAATTCTCCCGCCCAAGCATTCTCCGCCAAAAATCCTAAAATGTAATTTCACTTTCCGCAAAAAAATCATATCATCATCATCCTATACTAAAAAGCACTACACTGGAGAGAGAAAATTCTCCCGCCTAAGTATTCTCCGCCTAAAATCCTAAAATGTAATTACACTTTCCACAAAAAAAATCATCATCCTAAAATCCTAAAATGTAATTTCATCCTATACCTAAAAACACTACACTAGAGAGAAAATTGTCTCGCCTAAGCATTTTCCTCCAAAAATCCTTAAATTTAATTTCACTTTCCGCAAAAAAAATCGTCATCATCATCATCATATACCTAAAAGCAAGTTCATTTGTAATGCGTTGCGGAGAGTAACAAGTTCATGGGATTGGAGTTTGTAATGACGAAGATGGAAAACCAACCAAAACAACATTGAATGTTGTTTACAAAGAAATATGTACTTTAGAGTAATTTAAAATTTTCGTTATAATGCGGTGGACTTAAATGCGCATCCATTTCATCGTGTGATGTTTTACATTTAGTTCTTACCATTTATTCAGAATTTATATAATGTTTTCATCGGTGTCTCACTCCCGTGCAGCGCACGGGTGGAGCAACTAGTTTTCCTGGAAGTAGCAGAGGTGGGCAATAAGGCGCAATTGCATTGCACAATTGCAAACAATGTGTGACTCGTTCTCATAACTTCCTGCTATGTGCAAGACAAATATTGCCTTTTTGCATTTAGTACTAATCAAATTATTAGTATGACTAATTTTAATGTACATATTCACAAACTGTAGAAGTAATTTTGAATGGCAAATATCGAATCAACTAATGACAAGTTTGGTATGAGAATCATAGATTAAAAAAGGTTTATAGCTGATCGCAAGAATATAAACAAGTCGAACAAAATTGGACCGAGTAAAATGATGATTTCATTTGATCTCTCATTGTTGTAAACTTTTTTAGATACGGTAACTGTGTTTGTTCTCTCAGGTTGATTTACCTCGAATTGTGTCAATGAATCCCTGTCCCCTGAGCCAAGGAGTACTCCTGTCACTTCTCCAGCAGTTGGCATGTGATGTAAGCAATGAGACTGACAAGAAACTATCGTGGATGACAGATGTGCTATCAGCCATACATCCAACTGACCCAATGATTGCAATGCATGTACGCCCCATCTTTGAACAAGTATATCACATTGTGAACCATCACCGCAGTCTTTCCACCACGACTGCGGCTGGTCAGACCAACATCCGCCTGATTCTGATGGTCATAAACTCTGTGCTCGTGAACTGTAAATGATCTTTAATGCCAATGAGGAAGGCCGAAGGCTCTACATCTGTCCCAACCCTTAGATGGTTGTACATATTCTAGGAAGATATTTATAGAGGAAGCCTCTGTTCTCAACTTTTCGGACGTTGTTGGAGTCGTATCTGTCCACCATTTTTTTGCTCGTTTGATATTTTCAGGTGAAGTATGTTCGTATGTGGATATCGAAGTTTGAAGTTTAGTGTTTTTTGGGGATTTATGCTCATACACAGAATGTATTCCTTTTTTATTTGACACGTGCAGTTCCTTTTCTTATAATGTTTGATGTACATTATAAGAAACATACTTATAATGTACACCACCTTTAGCATGAAGGTCTCCTAGTATGAAGAAATTAGGATGTTACAAGTATCATGTGAGAATACTATTTTACAATATTAGCATGAAGGTCTCCTAGTACATTAGACGTAATGATGGTTTCACAGTAGTAGAGGATTTATTTGATCATTTTTAAAAATAATTAAATGTAGCAAAAGTTAACATATATATTAACAAAAAAGGTAATGGACTGCAAATTTTTTACTAGAATAAAAATTTAATGAGAGAAATTCTTAAATAGGAGTAAAAAGAGTTTTTTCGAATTAATGCTAATTAATTAATTAATTACGAAAATAATTTTGGGTTAAAAGTATTTGCAGATCTACTGTTGGGTTTAATCGTGGTCAGGGAAAGTCGCCCAACGGTTGGGCGACTTATAAGTCGTCAAACGGTTTGGCGACTTATAAGTTGCCCAACCGTCGGGCGACTTTCCCTTTAGATTTTTATAATACAATAATCTAATAAGAATATTTAAATATTAGGAGTTTTTTTTTTGAATTGGTTTTTGAATACGCCAAACGGTTTGGCGACTTATAAGTCGCCCAACCGTTGGACGACTTTCCCTTTAGATTTTTATAATATAATAATACAATAATCTAATAAGAATATTTAAATAATAGGAGTTTTTTCGAATTGGTTTTTGAATATTTAAATAATAGGAGTTATTTAAATAATAGGCGTTTTAGAAGAGAACATACGTAAAATGTTGTAAATTGTTCCTACAACATACTGCAATACAAAAGGCAAACTACAGGTTTTCATGGTCATCTTGATCATCTTGGTCATGGAGATGTTGCTGTTGATGTCTACGCCTACGCCGTGGTCGTGGTTAAAGAACCACTCTCTCATGCTGCGTCTGGGATGATGAAGCCGTTGCTGCACTAGACGTCGATGCCATCTCCTGAGATGGGGGACATATGTATAAGATGGCCGTAGTCGACTCGCCCCAACACATCTGAACACAAGGAGGCAATGCCTGTCAGAGTCTGTCCATACATGTCCACATCATGAGTATCACTCACTGTGGCAGTAGCCCGCTGATGTATACGCTGCAAAGCTCGTGTCTGAAATATGAAACACAATTACAATTACATTGAAATACATACAAGTATTCAATAAATAAAATGACTTACTTTACTAATTAGTAATATACTCACCGTAAGATGCAAAGCCAATGAGCTAGGCTCATAATGATGAGTAGGGAGTGAACGAAGGAGACACAAACAAACGAGTGATGCTGTAACACCATCCCATGTAGTCTCCTGAAACAGATGGGACAAATGTCGGTGTCCCAGTCACAACTAGCTCAGCTCGCCTGTCCCACATAGTGACTGATGGAGTATATGTCTGAGTGCCCAATCCTCCGAATGCTTCCCACGCCTATCCAGCCTATGAAGCTCTACTTAAGTGTCGATAGGCCGTGGAATGACCTGCTCAAACCCAAACTGTCGCAAGACTCGATCAGGCAAATGAAACTCAACAATGTCAAAACATATCAACGGCACACGTGCTCGCCATATGTCAGTATGCTCTCGTAAAGCCGGGGGCAACTCTGCAAACATCTCAGCTGTATAGGACATCCATGCAATCTGTTTTATAAAGATACAAAATTAGTATTTATGCTATACATTTTATAGTTAATGTTATATTACCCACACCATATCTGATCCTCAGACATCCGATCAAATGCATCCCTGTAGACACCGAGCCCAGTAGCGGATGACATGCGACTTAGACCAGCAAATAGCCATCTAACCATTCATGTAACCGTTTCATTAATATGGATATAATTAATATACTTACATTCAACATACAATAACATAAATACTAACGATTGAAAACATACCGACGGCCTAGAGGGTCTTCGCCCCGTACATGATGTGGTCCTAGAAAACGTGGAGGCTGATCAGGGAGTGGGTGTCCATCAATGCAATGATATGCGACTACAATGGGACGCCCAATGTGGATATACTCCCATGACCAAATCTGGAGGAGTAGCAAAAATCCTCCAAGCTCTGTGCTCCCTCTATGGCAGCCGCGACACAGCTGTCTGTAGAGATAGGCCAACGTGGCACTACCCCAGCTGAACTGTGCTGCTACATCAAACCTCTCTAGCAATGGCAAGTGCAGCACCTGAACCTCATTTCCGCTCTTGTCAGCGAAAATGGAGGCTCCCATCATCATCAAGATATATGCCCGCGCATGCTACTGGATCATCACCTCATCGGCGTCCGGATGAAGCACTTGGAAGTGCTCCCTCAACCATGGCATCCTCAGGGATGACCCCTGAAGGTCAGTCCAAAGAACGGGGCGGACACCTAACAAGCGCTCACACTCATCTACCCACTGTCGACAAGCAGTTCCTGTAACAGCTCTCCCATGAACCTGTAGCCCAGTAAGTACAGCAGCATCTCCCAAGGTCACTGTCACCTCACCAACAGGGAGGTGAAATGTGTGTGCGTGTCTCCTGTCTCCAACGCTCAAGAAGAGCAGTGAGTAGCGCTCTATCGAGAGGTACAGTAGCCACCAATATGTGGAGACCATAAAAACCCGCAGCACGAACATATGCAAGTACTCTGTCGTCCACATGCATATGCGACAAACCGCGTAGGTGCTCGCGGCACCTATCCACCTGAACATCGAGGCCAAGCCACACATCCTCACTCCTGTGCGAGGCCTGCAATGTTAGGACAGAACGATCACTCGGCCCAGGATCCGCTGTCACATCCATGCCTACTAACCATTAAAATCGTATTAGTTAATTTTTAATATTATACTAATTCTTTTTTTTAATCATTCATTTTATTAATTTAAAAAAAAAAGAATTTTCAACTCACATTTCAATATCAAAATACCAAAATTTAAGTCAACATTTCAATACAGGTGTTATGCTTCAAAATGACCATAAGCTTGAAAACCAAATTCATAATCTTCATTACAACAATACAACCAACCCGAACAAACACTTCATTACAACATTACAACATCTGCTAATATATCCTACTTCCCAGCAAGACGATAACAAACAACCCGAACCACACTACATTCCAGGAGAAAGTCCCATTGCCTTTCTTTGACATCTTCAGTTCCTCTTCCATATTTTGGACTTTCAAAAGACTAATTCCACGAACACAACACTTGATTTCAGCTTGCATCTCTAATTCTTTCATTCGGAAATTCTCTTCAACACTGGTAATCTTCTGAAGCAAGATCTCTATTCGCCTCAGGCAAGTGCCACATTGTTCATCCTCAACCCATTCAAAGAAATTGCACTTTTGACCACTCAAGAAACGACCACACCCATAAAATCTTTTCCCCCTGTTTTTGTCTATTGTAGCAGTCCACACTGGTGCTTGGAGTCCACAGTCACACCTCTTAATTCGCCTTGTTGCATCCATCGACCAGGACTCAGCACTCGAAGAACTCATCGCACCTTAATTTTTTTAGCATTAATAAAGTTTAAATTATCATTTTCACTCTTAATTCGTTAATACGCGTGGATTTAAATGAAGATTTCTTTGTTATCTCACCTTAAATTTTTTAGCATTAATAAAGTTCAAAAATTTAACAAACTTCAATTCATACCTCCAAATCTACATTACATAACAAAGTTCAAAAAAAATTATATAACAATGAATTCAACATCAACATACAACACTTCATACATATTCACATTACACAACAAATCAATTCACAAATGAACTCCTAATTCACAAATTCCAATTTTCTATATTCTAAACCCTAAAATGAAAAATGAGATAAATTGGAGATATTTGTTTACCTAGAGTGTTGAAGAAGATGAAAGGAAAGTAGTATTGACACGATATGGAGGCCTTGTTGTCGCTCGCCGGAGATTAACCTTCGCCGGAGTCAGAGGGAGGTGTGTCGCCGCATTTCGCCGGAGTCGGGGGCGCTGCAGAGGGTTTGGGAGTTTTGGGGATTTGGGGGAAATGTTGCGTTCTGCCCGAACCCGACTTATGTTTAAGGGGTAAGTCGCCCAACGGTTGGGCGACTTATAAGTCGTCAAACCGTTTGGTGACTTATAAGTCACCCAACCGTTGGGCGACTTACCCTGACCACGGTTAAACCCAACAGTAGATCCGTAAATACTTTTAACCCAACATTATTTTCGTAATTAATTAATTAATTAGCATTAATTCGAAAAAAACTCGTGTAAAAAAGTTGAAATTTCAAAATCGGACTATCATGTTTTTTATTTCTTGAATAATAGTAAAATTTTGCCAAGTTTGGCATTATTAGGCTTTAAAACATGACATTTTTTTCAAACTTGGCAGATTACTCCTATTCAGGGGTGGGTCCGCCCCGCCCCGTGACCTGCACGGGTCCAAAGTTTTTGACCCATAACTCACCCCATGCGGGGCGGGTCCGTCCTGCCCCGCCCCGCCATAACTTAATTAGCTAGTATGTATTTTTATTTGTGGCAAGTTGTTACCAATTGAATCTAATTAAAGTTTATCTCTAAATAATAATTAAAATTAATATATTAAATCAAATTCATGGTACCCTAAAAATTTCAAAAATTAAGGAAAAATTACTCAGACTTGAATAGTTAATCTATTAAATTATACTAATAATTGAACATATGTATTAAAATACTATATATAAAGAAGACATTGATAATATATGTATTAATATATTACAAGATCAAAGAATTTATGATTTACTGTATACACACATATGTATGTTGAAGTATATTTTAGTATAATTTAAGACAAAATATGTATGTTTATGTATTGAGCGGATCGGGTCGGGCGGGTCAGAGCGGCACGGGTCAATACTAATACCCGAACCCGTCCCATTGTATAGGCGGGGCGGGGCGGACTCGCCCCATTTGGAAGACAGGTCGAGTCGGATCCGCCCCAAATGTCTCGGGCCAGGGCGGGTCAGTGCGGGCCAGGGCGGGTCAGTGCGGATCCCCAAGAGTAACCGCCTTAATGCAAAAGTGTACAACGTTACGAAGATCGATCCTCATCTCCGCTACTTCATTCTCCCAATTCCACCCGGGCACTATCTTCAAACCCGCGACCGATTTTGAGATCCACATTTCAAAATCTAGGT